TATTCAAAAGTTTGGCATCAGTGGTGGGGGAGTTCGTCAGATCTGTGGTAGCAGCGGCCGTATCTCTGGTGACGACGGCTGGATCCGCAAGGGCAACGGTTGGTGGTTGACAGAGCCCCGATCTGGTCCGATCTATGGAGGTGGCGACCGGATCTACGACAATGGCGTTCAGATCTACAATGGCAGCTAGTTTTAAGGCTGAGGCCTGAGGCGACGGTGGCCGGCGGTGGCCGGCGGTGGCCGGCGGTGGATGTCGATGGCCGGAGGTGGCCTGTCATGTTGTCTGTCGGTGGGAAGTCTTCTATTTGTCAATGTTCGAGGGTATTTTTGTCCATCTTCACATAATAACTCCTATTTGGAATTTTTAGACTTTAGTCATATTTTGGTAATTAAGCATTTAATTACTCTCATTTAGGTAAATCTCCCTTATTTTTATCAATTTGTTATGTACGGATTATTATTGTAGAATGTCAAGAAGTCGAGATTATTTACGTGAATTTCATCAAGATTTATTTGAATTTAAAATTAACAATGTAAAATTAAATGTGATGAAACTCTAAAATTTCAACACGGGCACTTTAGCTGCTCTCACTGCCGCCCATGCGCCGCTCTCCGCCGATGTCATTACTACCGCCATCGCCACCACTGATATCATCACCGCCGCTGCAGCTCACATCGCCGCGCCCCAATCACCATTGTCATCCTGTTCCGCCATTGCCCTTTCCGGATGCCATCGTTGTCTTTTAGCAAAATCACCATGAGAGTCAGATCCAGAGGCCACCACTGCAACTCCAGCTCTCCAATGCAAGCACCACCACCTTCACAACACCAATATCATAAATCTGTCATTAAGTAGGCAGATTTGGCCTTCAAGATTAATTTAAATTTGTCATTCGTATGAATCTTAAATCTGCTAACCAGATATTTCTTGAAAGAACAACACAAAACTGCCATAAATTTGGCAAACATATGAACTCAACAACCAAATATTTGAAAAATAACTTTTTCAAAGGAATAAACACTTTAATACAATCAAAAATCACAAATACAAAAGTAATGACAAGAAAATTAAAAACCGATTTACACAAAATCTATTATACCATAATCGATTGTCGATATGCACACTTCTGCCATAAATTTGGCAAAATCTTATGCCATCATCCGAAATTCCAAAAAATTAGATTTTTTTAAAAATTCACAAATCTGAATCGGAAATTCAAAACAGAGGTCCAGAAATCAGCCAAACGTATATCAAAACTAAAAAAACAGAAGAATAAAGGAAAATGTGAAAAATCAATGTTGAAAATCATGAGGAGGTTGCCTTCAATCTAGTCATCATCCATGCACCCCTCTCGTCCATCGAGGAGGGGGTTGGGGCCCGATAGAAGCAACCAATCAACTGTTGGATAAGGGAGTAAAAAGTTAGAGTTTAATAACCATAAGTCTCAGCATACTATTTCATATAAATTATCCATTTATTTATTAAATATTCTTTAAATAATTCAAAACAAAACTTATCCCAGCATCATGTATACCAAATAGAACTAAATCAAATAGTTAGGACCTGTTTACTAACGGAAACAGTTTTCTGTTTTCATTTTATGTTTTCAAGTCTCCATCTTTCTGTTTTCGAAATAAAAAAACATGTTTACCCGAGTTTTTCAGTTTTCCATTTCATTTTTACCAGAAAACGTTGACTGAATATTTGGACTAGAAATGCACAATTACAAATACTTGAAATAACACAAAAAATTAACATAAATGTTCCCAACACTGAAAGTTCGATAAGTGACATTATGTTAATCAAAACAACAGTCATACTTCGACATCTCATACATTATAATCATCCCACATTGCATTAGCAATACTTCTTCGAATTTTGTGCATTTGTTGTTGTTGAGACATATCAAATTCGAGTGATTCATTTTCACTTGTACATGCCTACGTGTTAAATATCATATCCTCTTCCTCGTACTCCATGAACAAACAATCACTCTTATCTTACATGTGAATGAAGTGCAATGTGCGCAACAAGCTATGAGAATTTGAACTTATCTTGTTAATGGGTAACCACATGGTATGTCTAGAATGTGAAATCTTTCCTTTAGTACCCCGAAACACCTTTCAATCACATCACGCGAGAATGAGTGTCGGTAGTTAAATAGAGCTTGCTTATTGCGTATTCGTCCTCGGCCGCGAAAATCATTTAAGTGATAACTCTCTCCATGACATGGGGCCAAAAAACCCGGAGCATTTGGATAGCCGGCATAAAAAACATAGTAATAACCTATAATGAAGTCAATAAGAACTGCATTGGGAACCTATTCATGCAAAATAGTGTCTTGATCATAGTTCTAAAAATCGGCCTAGGCGGACCGATTAATCGGCATAGGCGGCCTAGGCGGCCCTAACCGTAGAGGCCGAATCGGCCTAGTCGGCCGAAAAATCGGCCTAGGCGGCCGACTAGGCGCTAGGCGCCCCTCAACCGCCCGATTAGCGCCTAGCGAGTTTTAAAACAATGGTCTTGATTAACAGAAATTGGGTAATTATTGTATTACCGAGAGGAGGAATGGGCAACCGATTTTCGCTTATTGTAATTGCATCTAAAAATACTCGAGAGTCATTGCACGTGCCCTCGCAACTCGCATATACATACGTAAACATGTCATGAGTACAAGCTGCCATGACATTTTGAGTCACCGTTGAATGTCTACCGCGAAACATCTTTTGTTTGGAAGCGGGTGCCGAGGCTGCTACATAAGTACCATCAATGGCACCTACACATTTTTACAAAATTTGTACATCATTAATAGTATAAGTTAACCAAAGTATTGGAAAACATAATTCGACATGCACATACATCAAAATATGGATACCATTTCGGTTTTTCTAAAGTTTTAGGTTGAACGGGGCCCCTATTAACCGACCTTATAACTTCATTGCCCAGTCGTGCACGTGCTCTCACCTCACGCTTCACACATAAGTGAATAGTTCACATTGAATGCTGAAAATGCTCTGCACATGTACATTGACCCGCAACTTTGCATAACATTAAAAGACCTATTAGCTATTGCTAATTGCTATTCAGCCATTAAATATCTTGTATCATGCAGAACATTCAAAATTCTTAAGCCTTTCACATAAATGTAGGAATAGGTGTGGGTTCATCCTAAAACTCTCATAGCATCCTTGTGGATGGCCTGTCATTAATTCATTGATATAAGCATTACCTGTTAGTATAGACGATCGACATGGAAATGAATTGTTGTGGTTGAATAAGAAAAGATAAATTACCCTAAATAGGACTAAAAATGCCTGTATACTCTAAAATAGAACTATCGTGTTTTTATTCCCAAAGTAGAACTAATTACTGCCATGTTTTGGCAGTATCAGATTTTAAACATGACAATATTTTCCAAACTTTACAGTAATTACTCCTATTTTAGGAATAAAAACATGGGAATTCTACTTTAAAATTTTCAAACTTTTTTACTCCTATTTCGGGAATTTTCCCATAAGAAAAATGTAGATGATTGTTAGCCACACATAACTTTCCGAAAGAGGAAATGCGAAGAATGTTTTAGGACATTCAAAGGGGTAAGTGAGAAGAATTTTATGTGATAAAGAGAGTAATAATCAAAACCAAATGGGACCTCAATTTTACGTCTAAAAACGGGGCTTTTAAATTTATTAAACAACCCTAAATTTAGACACACATTTTGTATGTGGAGACATATGTCCTACTTTAGTTAAATTATGACATGATTCCAAAACATATTATTGATAAGTATTTTTGGGCGTGTCACATCTGATTTAAATATATACATCTTGTGATTAATCAGAATGATTAATAAAGTTTATTATGATAGTCACGAAATCATATTTTTGTCCACTATCATTATTCAAATATAAAATTGTCATTATTTTGAGTTTTATGGTGCAATTCTTCGCATTTGGTGTAATGGAGTTGACTGTAGTGTGAATATGAGTCGTCACCAATGATACATCACACACACATATATACTATCGTATGTAGTAATAGTAACATTACAAATTTTGCATTTGAAGTGTAAATGTTGTGCTCTCTGGCCTATCCGCCCTTCTTCCAGCCTTGTAAAAGTTCTTGAACTTCGTTACTAGTGCACATTCAAGATTATTTGATGCATTTAATTTTGTTACTATATGATTTTTTTTGTACCTCATCCGCTTCTCAAATGGGTCACTTGAGGCTTATGCACACATTTTAGGTAACAACAACACACTTTGTAAGGATATTAATTATATATAGTGCCAAAACAGTGGACCTCAATAAATTAAACATCAACAATACTCAAAGTGTTACGTAGTACACTAGTACGAAACATTTCGAGCTATATATATGTGGAGAGTTATTCAACCTTAGCTTTGTTTCGGAAATTCTTCACCTAAAGTATGATTGATATTGTTTTTTATTAAATACTCCGTATGATTTATTTTCTGAAAGCTTTGCCTATTTTATTCTTTTAACATGACTAGATAAGCTCTAAATTGGAAGTAAAAGAAATTTAATCCCATTTTTCACATTATTATACATTTTTATGGGAACATTTTCTAATTTGAATGGCTTTCATTGTTCCAGAATTAAAGGGTAGTCGTAGACATAGACAAATATTAAAGAGGTAGTCATAGACATAGACAAATATTAAGTTGAGACTGGTACAGACAATTAAAGACGCCGAAGCGATAAATACCGATACACAAACCCTAGTTTCAACAAAGCACCAGTGGTCTAGTGGTAGAATAGTACCCTGCCACGGTACAGACCCGGGTTCGATTCCCGGCTGGTGCATAGTTTTTTTAAATTTCTGCCTTTCCATTTTCTTGCCTTTCCAGAAGTCCAGACATAGGAACCATTAATCAAAATGCCCAACCAAACATATATACTGAACCAAAAACCCTCATGAAATGGGACAGTTGGATTACTAATAATGTTTTAAGGCTTTTCAAGAGCAAAACAATTGAGCTTTTTTAGTGCATATTAAAAGTGAGAGTTCACACATTTTCCATTTCCAGTTTGATGTCACTAATAATTAGAACTTATCTACACTTGTTCCATCTCTGCTAACTTCATAAGCATCCCTATTTCTTGATTTCTTCATACCAACTGAGAAAAGAACTTTAGAGGAATTCTCAGAAGAGATTGCAGAGACTTTAACCCAAATCACAAACTTTGTTTTGATTCCTTCAATGTCAGATAGCTTCCCTTTCTCAAGACGCCCATTCACTGTTGTATTGAATCTCAAAACGGAGGAGTCTTTGTAGCACAGTTCACATACAGAGGGTATATACACAGTCAGCTTTCCTGTCTCTTCGTTTAGCTCATAGTTCGTAGCATCCCGAGGAAATATGCCGATCGGTAAATCATACTCTTTAAGCAGCTCTGGTAATGGCTTTTGAACTTTTCCTGTAAATTCAACTCATACTTTACCCATTCACTCATTAGTGCAGACGTGCAGTACTAGGTACAAAAAAAGAAATCTTTATAAGACTTAACCCAATTGTGTAGGAGGCATGTAGATATAGGCAAAATGTATATAAATGAATCTTTAGGACCCTCAAGGGCAAGGCAAATGTAGGCATATTAAGCGGGGAAGAAAGATTGGATAGTATGAACACACCTTTGATTTTGTTAACCAACCATTTGGCTCCCCCTTCTATACTGCTTGACATGGACTAATCAGCGTATGCAGAACAGTCAGAATACAAAATGTCATAGAAAATATTTCTTTCATTTTCATTAGAATGATATTTATGTAAATTATTGCTAAATGTGTGGGTTTTGGATCAAATAAAAACAACTCTGAACGTGAAAACTGCAAACCGTTCACTTTTTACCCAATGTGATGCTCTTTAAAGATGATCTGTTGCACTTTTTGAACATTGGCCGAATCATGCATGTCAAATAAAAAAAATGTGGTGGCATTTTCGTATATAAGTCAAAGTTTTTCTGTCGATATGAAAAAGTGCAACAGAGGAACATAATAGTGCAACACACTAGGGGGAAAAAGAACGATTGCAGTTTTCACGGGAGGAATGATTTTTATTTGATCTGCACCCTATTTGTGTAGACGTGTAGTTCTACTCGCATATAAGTATTTATATTATTGATGGTGTAATTAGTCGTGTACAAGGGGTCGTGATTGTGTGAAACGTGACAATATAAAATATTAAAAACTACGAACGTGTTTATGAAGTTTACAGCAATTTGCAAGACACATATGTTGATCAATGTGACCATTGACATTTTATGAAATCCGAATGAGACATCTTGGAACTTTTTAAAATAGAAGGGATGCACCATGTCCCAAGGTTTGTTTAGAATCGACTTGAAAGTTAATTTGGTAATTAAGTTGAGATACAATTCACATCTAATTGAACCAGCTATGAGTGAAGGGAATCATATATATGTACAATTTGTAATATAAGAATGAATTCAAGGTTTAATTCATTCTCTAAACATAATACACTTAACAATGAATATTACTAAAAAGAACTTGTTAATAATGGTCACGCCCCAAGCAGGGCTATCTAATACGGAGTAATAGTGGCCCTGTTTAAGAGTTAGTTTGAGGCCATATATTATAAATAAATGTAGATGAAAAAATGACACAGTTTAGTAAAATTTAAAAATATCAATAAGCTTTACATCATAAAACATGGAATTTAGACATCTTAACATTGAGGTTTTCGAAATACTCGTCATTTTACTTTCAGAAAGTGCAAAAGTGGGACTAAATGTGTTTTATTGTCCATATAGAATAAGTTGATTAAAACTTCTTAAAATAAGAGTGAATGAATCCTATTTTAGGAATAAAACAATAATAATCCTATTTGTGAACTTTATCGTTATTTTAGTCCTATTTAGGATTTTTTTTCTTATTCTTTACATCATAGTATTCCGATCATACTAGTATAAACTAATAAGGTTTAACAATTTTGGGGTTCTAATAATATTTGGTGCATACATGAATCATGTTACATAGAACTGATTTAACAAGTTATTCACCGTTCTGGCTTGAGGACTCCAAAACCCACTTTAATGGGACAAATGAGATGACATTCTTATAACCTATTCAAAATTGAGATTATATCTCGAAACATAACCAAAGTCAATGGTTTGAAATTGCACCACTCGAGAATTTGCGCAAATTACATACGAATTTTAGTACGTAGTATAAGGGAATTTCCATCCCTACACGTTTATTTGTACACCTTTTATGCATTCTCATTGTATTTTGATGGTATACACAAGTAACTCGTCTTTTGGGAATTATTTGTGTATATATACAAGATGAAAGGTATACAAAAAGGTGTATACCAAAAATAACTCAGCAAAATTCACGAATGGGAGTGTAAAGGAGAAGACACTACAAAAAGAACTCGAATTGACAGAGATTTTTGACAGAGTTTTTCCAAAATTGGCAAGGATTTTGGCACGAATATGTCAAATTCATGCCAAAAACAAATTAACACGAGCTAGTTGGCACAAAATTTTTGAGAAACTCGTGTCAAATCCGTATCAATCCTGTAATTTCTTTTGTAGTGAGAGACGGGTTAACGTACATTGATGTCATCACCGACGGAACTGAGCTCCTTCGTGGCTTTCTGGCCAACCCAATAAGAACCCATTTTCCCCAATAGCTGATCCATCCCTATCCTCGATCTCCGACGATCGGAATTTGATTTGGATTTAATTTGAGACGGAGGAGAGAAACGTTGTGATCGATTGTTTCTTAGCTGATTTCTTTATTTGAAGCTAACTTAGCAATATAATGCAAATGTTCCTTCCAATCAATATGCATTCATTCTCATCTACTATTGCGCGGTGTTTGTAACGATGCGGACCAGCGGATCGGACCTATGTATTGGATACCAAAACGGAAACATTTTCCTTCCATTTTACTACTCATTTGCATTATCAATTTATTGTAATAATAACTTTATAAAAATCTTGCAAAAAAAACTTTATAATAAAGTTATACATAGTTCCTTACTTTTTTTTGCAATTTTATCATCGTCAAAGGTTTAATTTGTCATGGTCATTCAAGACAAATTGTCATTTGTCACTATCCGTTCTAAATTGATTTGCAAATATGACTTTTCTTGGTTAAACTGTTTCATTTTATTCCCTTAATTAGGATGTCAATTTTTAATTATTTTCTAATTTGAAGTTTGCAACTTTGAAGAGATTTTAATGTAGTTTCTGAATATGTAAATTTTAATTATTAAAAATTGAATTAACTATCGATATGGAGGATTGACTTTTATTATTGGTTAACAAAAAAATGTTGACTTTGCAAAACAATTTGGGACGGAGAGAGTATAATATAATGTCATGATTATTTAAATATAAAAGTTAAACATAAACTATACATAATCATTGTAGTTACTAGTATAATCACTACATTTAAGAGGTAACATTTTCTATTCGCATCTTATACAATCATTTTATGTCTAAATAGATAATGTGAACAATTGAGTTCAAACACTTTACCTAATATATAGCCGATCAATCGATCGTCAAAACATCTAATAGACTTAACATCTAATAGACTTAGAGGGTGTTTGGAGCACCCAAAATGGGCTGAAAAGCCTGAAAGTATGAAAAAAAATCACCAAACACTTCATGATTTGGCTGTTTGAGCTGAATTTTTTGATCAGCCGAAAAAGTAACTATATGGCTACTTTTTGAGCTGATTTTTATTATTGTACTATTTGAGATTGAAAAAGCTCTTTTAGCCTTTTGTATTGAAGAAATACGTGTTCGTTGTTTTGGACGAACGAAAGCCCCTCGCTTGGGAGCTCCACATCAATTGCTTCTTATTCAAGGAGTGCTCCATATACTTTACTATTTTGGACTTTAGCAAAATAAAATTCAAACAAACCCCACTCCGCATGTTTTGTTTCATTTTATTTTAATTTATTCAAGTGCATGTGGTTTTTTATACTCCGTATACTTTATAGAAAGGGTATTTTTTTAAAATTAATTTACTCATATTGTTAACAAAAAAGTTATAATGACGTTTATTCGAAAAAATTTGTGTAAAAAGTCAATATAATAAATTAATTAAGCATTCTTATAATCACCTAATCAAGCAAAATTAATTCACACTCATATATTTAACACAAATAAGTTAATACCCTTTAAAGTAATTTTACATTCAATCAGTCATTTCAGCCAACATATTACCAAACACTTTCACTTCAGCATATTCAGTCTTTTCAGTCTATTCAGCCGTTGCAGCCGTTACCAAACAGGCCCTTAGTGTATCACTCCGAAGTCCAAACGTACTCTACTATTTTGTTTCAAGATTGTTTAAATTAATAATAAGAAAGGCTACATATATGCAGAGTAGCTATATAGCTAATACTACTCCGCATTAATTACATCATTATCATCCTATCTGGGGTTTTGGTTAAACTAAATATAGAAACTAATTTTCAAAGAGAAAGATTGACATCAACAACACACTCAACGGACGACGATAACCCGGCGCCTGGTTTGGCTTTTGGAGAGTGTGAAGCCCCTCCTCCACATTTGTAGCCATCAGCCATAGAAGAAGCCCTCCCATCATTTTGCATGGACACATGACGCTGTATGTTCATTCCACGTACGGTCAACAAGTCAACCACCATTTCTAACAATTTAGGATGTTTTCTTTTGGACTGAAATTTGCTGGTCTAGTCTGATCTGGTATGGTCTGAACTGGTCTGGTCTGGTCTTGGACTGAAAACAATCCAAAAGAAAACATCCTTAGTGACATCAATGTCCAAAACATAGTCAAAATTCAAAAATAAATTCAAAAATAGGGTTAAGTATGTTTAGTTTTATTTCTCAAAAAAATATGATTTATTTAGTCCTATTTATAGACTTATTTGATTAAAATTTATCAAAATAGAAGTAAATGATTCATACTTTGAGAATAAAATCCTACTTAATATGTAAAAGTTTAATTTTCTACTTTATAACTCCTACATACTTTAGTCATCAAACAGAAGTACAGAACATACACCTAATCACACCCTCAGAGAAAAAACACAATTAATCATATTTGGAGACTTGTCCGCGCGTGCATGTTTCAGTTTACTAATGAGAAATTTCTGATCGATGCAATTATAAATAAACTCCATCCGAAAAGTACCCCAGTATATTAATATACAACCTCCAATCCTCCATATCCGAAAATTGACGTTCAATTCACTGAGAGCCCGTTTGGTAGCATCAAAATCGGCTGTTTTGGCTGATTCTGCTGAAATTTATGATATTCTGGCTGGAGTGGCTGTTTTGGCTGATTCTGTTGATTTAAGAAAAAAATATTTTAAAAATATATTTCATTAATAAATTAAATAAAAAATTATATGTAAAAATAGCTAAAATGGTCCTCTACAGTAACTTCAGCCAATACAGCCAGAAAAGTAACTCCAACCTTACTTTTTCGGCTTATTACACAATTCAGTGCGCGGAAGTAAAAGTTACGTGTTTGGTGAAAAAGCTGGCTGATAAGCCTGATAAGCCGAAAACAGAGTTCTCCAAACGGGCTCTGAATTTCGAAGTCAAATTTAGTTGATGTTTTACCAAGATAAGTACAAATTAAATAGATGGATAGAGAAAGCCGGAGGCCACTACATACCCTAGAGAGGGCTCCATCCGAAAAGTACTATACACATGTGACATGTATACAACCTCCAATTCTCCGATACCTTTCTAAAATATGGAATAACGTATATATCTTTCATTTGATTGGACCATATCACTTTATCATTTTTAATTTAGATTTAAATAATTCAACTGTTTCATTCTCATTGGTCTATGTGGACAAATGTATGGTACCTTATGGGTACCATAGAATCCAAAAAGGTAGATTCTATTGTATCCAAAAGGTACTATACCTTTGTCTACTTGAACCAATTAGAATGTTACAGTTGAATTATTTAAATCTAAATTAAAAATGATACTACCTCCGTTCTTAAATAAATGCAACACTTTGACTTTTACACTATTCACATGTTCTACTTTGACTACGTTTTATTTATTAATGTAATAATATTATTTTATGAAAAAAATATTGTTAAACTTGTCTCATTGTAAATTTTCATAATCTAATTTTTTTAATTTTTTTACTAATACAAAATCATTTATATTAATGGTCAAAGTTATGTCTCGGCAAGTGTGAAATGTTGACCGTTGCATTTATTTAAGAACGGAGGAATTATAATGATTTGGACTGGGTACGGTATCCATTTTTTTAAATGGGTACCGCACTTTTACTGAATTTTGAAGTCAAATTTAGTTTATGTTTGACCAATTCAATACTACCTTAGAGAGGGTGCCATCCGGTTGAACATTCCAGCCGGCTTCTCGGCAAAGAGCAAAGAGGAGATGGTTGGAGTCGGCGTGGCTGGGAAGCTCATAGTTGCCGTAAGCACGAAGGCCCTGGAATATCTTCTTCGCCACCGCCCGCCGCTTCTGCTCCTTTTCCTTGTTCTTCTCCCTCTCCTTCTCCCGCTCTTCGTCTTCTTCTCCACCTTCCACGGCCCCCTCGCCGTCTTTATGCATCCTCTCACCAATGCCTCCACACCGTTCTCCCCGCCACCGCCACCGCCCATCATTAATAAACTAAATCTTTCTCTCGGATTCGTTCGCTAGCTAAAGATACATCCCATATATATAAATAAGAGAAACAGCTTAGGGACAAGAATCACAAGATAGAGATACACATTTTTAATGTGATCGAGAGACAAGAAAAGGACACAACAGACTAAAATCTTCTTGGAGGACGGACTACGTCGTACGTAACAACGTATGTATAGTACGCACTTATAATTACAGTGAGATTTTGCCTTGTTAGTGGATGTATAGATGGAAGGAGCTCAGGCGGTAAGGAAGTAGTGTGCGGCCATTTTTGGAAACCAACTAAAACGACAACACAAAGGCTAGCAGGGCGCAGGTGGATGAGATCGATATTCGATGCATATATGCAGACGGAATAAAATATTGTCTCAGCCTTTTCATTTGCAGCAATTAAGCAGTAGAGATCAACCTGTATTTGGTGAAGCATACCCACCAATTCATCCAAAGCTGATTGACTATGAGGCCGTTTTATACTTTGGCAACACCTTTTTTCCGAACACCTAATGTTTGCTTGCACGGTGAATTGTGTAATAAGCAGAAAAAGTAAGATTGAAGTAATTTTTTAGGCTGTATTGGCTGAAGTTACTGTAGATGACTATTTTAGCTATTTTTAATATAATTTTTTATTTATTGTATTAATAAAATATATTTTTAAAATAATTTTTTCTTAAATTAGTATAATCAGTCAATACAGCCACTTCAGCCAGAACTTCATAAATTTCAGCAGAATCAGCCAAAACAGACGATTTTAGTACTACCAAACGGGCTTTATAAATAATAGATACAAGTATATATTTACTCCCTCGATATCTAATTAGATGACTCATTTGCTTTTCACGGAGTTTAAGACAATTAGCGTAGACTTTATAAAAAGTAAGAAGTTTTTGGTACTGTAGCTGCTTTTTGAGTGAGATTGTTTCCAAAAAGGAAAGGAGTCAATTAATTTGATACTCCAAAAATGAAAGTGTGACAACGAAATAGATAAGGAGGGAGTAGTAGTGTAGTAATTTTGTCCATTTTTATTTATTCATTTTTTATTCTTTCAGTCAATAATGGTCAACAATTCTTTTAGTGATTTGGCTCGTATACCTTCAATTGTGGCTGGACAATCAGTGTTGGTGTGGATGTTTCCGAGACAACAGATTGGCACGACAAATAGATTCGTGCTAAATTATGTGACAAATTCATTAGTGTTACCTTTAGGCGTGCCAACATTCTCGTACCAAATGTTACAAATGTCCCTTCTTGCCAAATTAATTTCTTGACAAAAAGTTCAGTGTCAAATTTTGATTTCTGCCTAAGCCGTGCTAGAATCGCTGCCAGTGGTTACCGGTAAAGGTCCAACCCAAAATCAAACTCAAAAGGTATAGCCCTCTCGTTTCATCTCTTCTTTGACAATATTCTTCACAAACAGGGGAGGAGCTAAAGGGGGTCAGTGTAGTCTGCCGAGCTCTCCGAAAGTTTAAGAGTATAAAACACTTTTATATCTGTTGTGATTCAATACGAGCGAAAAGTTATGTCTCCAGGAAAATCAATATTATTTTAGCTTCAAATGAATAAAGTTTGATTCGTAATATGTACTACGTATTATATTCTCAAATTAATAAATAACTCATAATACGCTCATTGCTTACGTGAAACTTGTAATGTATATGACTTATATCAAATCTATAACTCGAATTGTCTTATTTAAACTATTCTCTCCGGTTCTTATAGTTTTGTTATCTTTCTATTTTGGATTGTCCTAAAAACTTTGCTGGTTTTTCTTTTAACCACATATACAAATTTTAATTTATTATTATCTGTGTCGGTCAAAATTAGTAAAGTTTATGACGAGGGAAGTAGATAGTACTACCTCTGTCCCATTTTATGTGTCTTAGTTTGACTTGACACGGTTATTAATGAAGTGGTTGAAAAAGTAAAAGTTGTGGTTGAGATTTGAGTATAATAAAGTGAAATGGTGTAGACCACATATTTCTTTCTAAAAAAGGAAAGGAGACACTTATTTTGGGACAACCCAAAAAAGAAAGTAAGACGACTAAAATGGGATGGATGGAGTATTATTTATCCAAGCTAGATATGAAACTTGGATAAATAATACTAGTTACAAAGGTAACCGTTATCAATTTTAGCCAAAACCATCCCAAACTTAATAACCGTTCCATATGCTCTAATGATATTATATTATTATATAGGTGTGCCCAAAATGATATTATACGGAGAATTATATAGTTTTGCCCAATATGAGTCAAATATGTGCCATAAAATATATGCAGATGAGTAGTTTGTAAAGTTGAATTACACTTATCCATGTCATATGCACCCATAAATACCCATTGTTTATGTTTCTTGTACGTATTCATGGTCTGATAAATTTTGATAGATGTTGCTCATTGAACTTGTTCTCCGTTTGCCCGTTTGGTGAGGTATATATTTATATTTAGTTAGCATCTTAAAGAAGTTTATCAAGAATAAAGATCAAATGAGAACAGTGTTTAACGTGAGAACACCACATTTACCCCAACATGTTGCACGTACAATCAAGTTTGTATATTGCACTTTTTTGCATTTTGACAATATTTACCAAAATGTCACCGTGTTTATTTAAAAGAGACTTAATTCGAGCAATTAAAAATGTGTAACAGAAGAGCTCATTTGTGCACTACATTGATTTAAATGTGAGTGTTCTCACATTCTCACGTGAAGCACCGTTCTCATTGGAACCGCACCCGTTATATCAAAGTATAATAAGGTATACAATTTCTTGCTTTAAGGTTAATTGTTCATGTTGCGTATTATCTTATCCTTCGTATAAGTTATATTCTTGGTTTATGATATTCTAGAACCGCCTCTTGTTCTCTCTTATGTACGTATAACTTTGTAGCTTGTGGTTTCCTAGTCAAAAATAGTCTTAATTTGGCTTGATAACCCTTGATTCACACAATGTAACAATCGAGTTTCTCCCCGAGTCTCTACTCTCTACAACTCTACAAGCTATATTCTTGAGAGTTGAGACTTGAGAGACGTGATGAAAAGTTTATAGTCAGTGCATTGTCTTCTTATTTGCGGCACAAATTTCTTTTTCATTGTGTCCGGTTTAACGCCTTTGTTTTCCGAAAGCTACTACAAATCATTTAGATTTAGAGAATCTGTAATCTTGGCTTCGAAATACTACGTGTGATATTTCGACCATATGATGAGTTATGCATGAAAAAAGAAAGAAAAAACAAATAGTAAAAATAAACTAAAGACACCTCAAGTACATAGTTATATACTACTCCGGATTACACAATTATATAAAATTTGAATCCAACATTCATAGTTATATACAATCTTTTGATCAATTCCGGTTGTGTTTAGGATTGGAAATTTTAGGAGTGTTATTAGCTAATTAAAGTTCGAAAGATGTTTATACGGTTCCATAATACTCCGTGGTAAAGACGTAGAGTAATGGGCCATATATACTTATATAGAAGAACCATGGATATATGAAGGAAGAGACGTTTGAGACAAAAGCCAAGGAGGACTTCAAATGAAGTCCAGGACATTGGTCATCGAATATTATTCAAAAGGCAAGTCAGTATTTCAAGGTCTACTAACCCAGATGGTAAAATGATAGACATAATTCTAGTTTGCATCAAATGCATATTATACAATGTTCATAAAAGGATTCAGCACAGTCAAACCCCGAGTTCAATACTATGGGCACGCCGGCAGCTAGAAGACGGAGCCATTCCACCCAAGGTTGTAGCCCTGCAAAACAGATAAAGATCCATACATCAGCATTATCATATTCAAAAGCAAAACAGATAAAGATCCATACATCAGCATTATCATATTCAAAAGCAAAACAGATAAAGATCCATAAGCATCAGCATTATCATATTCAAAAGGCCACGTATAGTTAAAAATGTTCCAGGTAAAAGCAACCCAACAACCAGGGCTTGTTTACTCAGGAGATTCAATGGCCGGGGGGGGGGGGGGGGGGGCAAACATTGAATTTTATTTCATTTATTATTTTCAAATTAGAAATATAGAAATAACTACATGCTTACCTTAGTTCATGTATTTCTAAATAGTTTTACAGCCTGGCTTTAATTCCACCCAGCTCCATGTAGAAATTAGTTAAAAATAAATAACACACCTCCCTCCCTTTCCATCACCTCCAAAGTCATTGAACCAAACAACCACTAGAGCCTGGGGAAGCTAATAAGGTAAACAAAAACTACAAGCACTAATAAATAATTTATTGTGATTATGATGAGCAGTGAAAGTCTGTTTACATTATCAACTACTAGTTCTGGTGTAAAGCATGAAGGCATTGTGCATATTCTTGACATGGATTGGCCTAAACAACGAGAGAAAATGCAAAATGAGTTGAAAGGATCATCCTTCAAACCATTTAGAGAGAGCAAATGTAATAAAATGTGCTTGCCTTGGAATCATAGAATTTCAGGAAATAGCGTGTCTTGGGGATTTTCAGCTTGGCTTCAAGTATGGTAGCAATGGCAGCACTCAGATCCTTGTTAACCTGAGCATTCAGTCCCCCAACAGAGACCAACTCGCCATACGCTGCTGGCTCCTCTGTCCCTCCAAAAGACAACGGTACAGATCCTTTCAACACAATCATCACATACTGCACCATAAAAGTGATATTTAGTTTAGACTTTAGGTACAAGCCAAATGCATTAGATTAGCAGCAAACGCCAAAATATATAACTACAGCCACTAGCCAAATGCATTGGAGATTTAGAGTGAGAGGTCAGTTGTGGAGGCCATCATCCCCTAAAAATACATTATAGCCAAATTGAATCCCGGACGAGTAAAGTATTCACGTTTAAGCACAAAAAGAGGCAGAACATCATAACAATAGTTTCACATTCCATCGACTACAATAAATTGCCTCAAGAGGTGTTGATTACCGATGAAAAGTGAAAACATAATATAGTGTGTACACACTTAAAACTTCGAATATAACCGTGCACTAGGTATCAGGATTTTCTATATGTGAAAATTTGTAGCCATTATACAGATCTGCGTTGAGATGGAGCATCTCTTCAAACGGAATTTACAAACAAACTTACAAATCATCAACGAGGACTGAGGAGCCTATACAACCAGGAAATAGGGAGGTAACAATCCTCATTTTACACTTCTCAATTCAATTCAAACAAGAACAGAGTACATCTGTACATATATAATTGTCTTTCTAATTTCGTTCTCCCTCTTCCTCTTTTTGGCAACGAGATTTTAATCACCCGTAAATTGGAATACGACATATCAACGAAGGAGATCATTTGCGCAATTAGAGTTCAACCTAAAAATAATACGGAGTACTCCGTAATACGAACACACAGAGAGAGGGGGGAGGGGGCGGAGGAGTAATCATACGCTTTCAGGTTTTCCGGTGTGTTTAGCAACAACGGAAGTAGCTTCTTTGAGGATGGCGGAGATATCGATGCCTTCCAGGTTAACATTCGTTGACAGGTTAAGGCAAGGCATTTTCCGAGTATGTGTATTCCCGGCGAAGAAGCAGCAGCCCTGTCTGTATTCGGATTACTCACTCAAAGCAGTACAAAACCCTCCCGATGAAAGTACTGCCCTTTGTACTCATAACAATGGTGTAGTGGAGTTACCTCGATATAGTTAATTACATCTACCCCCAAAGTTTAGGTTTATTACGCATCGGTCCTACCAATGTTGACGTTTTAGCTAAAACGTTTATAAATTGGTAGATTCTACCGTATCCATAAGGTACCGTACTTTTGTCCACATGGACCAATGAGAATCTTGGAATTGAATTATTTAAAGGTGACAACTCCGGTACCCGTTTAAAAAATGGGGGTACCGTACCTACCATGCATTTGATTGGTCCAAATCATTAAATCCCTTTTAATTTAGATTTAAATAATTCAACTGCATGATTCTGATTGGTCCATGTGGACAAAGGTACGGTACCTTATGTGTATCATAGAATCTACCTTATTTAAATCTAAATTAAAAATGATAAAGTGGTGTGGTTCAATCAAATGAATAGTAGGTACGGTACCTCATTATTTTAAAAGTATATCTTTGCATAAAGATGAACTTTCAAGTTTCACCAACATTACTTTTGTACGCACACTCTAAAAACTTTGACAAAATTGCCATGGTTAAGACTAGAACATAGATTTCATTTAAAAACAAATCTTGGTTTTCTCTAGATAGAACTAATCATTTCATTTTTACCTCTAATTGAATTAAGTAATTAACTCAATTAATTGCCCCTAATTCTCTTGCACAATCAATGCAATATGATGGTGGCGGGGGCAGCCGGGCAGGTCGGTGGTAGCGGCAGCATGGCGGCAACGGAAAGTGGCGACGATGGCAGAAATGTTGCCAAATTTTCAAAAAAAAAACTTGAAATATTCTGGTGGTGATCGGCGGTCCGGCTTTGGCAGCACATAGTCGGGGCAGGTGGCAGACAGCGGTGCAGGGGCAACAATGAAGGTATTTTGGTTCAATCACAAATAAATAGTCATAATTAAGAATGTTTAAATTAATCGATCCTATTTTTGAGAAAAAACTACTCCGTATGTTTTAAATTCATGAGATCACATGATGAAGTTTTACAATGAATTTGCATCAGGAAAAATAATCAGTCTGAATGATATTGACAACCTCATAATCCTGATTTTTGCGTATGTTTGACTATCTTTTAGAATAGATTATAGAAATAATTACATCAATATGACCAAAATAAAGATGGTTTACAAAAATATGATTAGTTACTAGAGTAGTAATGAAAGCATAGTAATTCATGTTCAAGTTTCGAAGTTAAGTTACTACAACACTACGTTGTAGTAATGAATAGTCATATTTATATAAATAAGTTTTATTTTAGTAATATTGTTGTAAAAAACCCTAGATTATATGATTGGCGTGGAATATTTAGTTATGATTGACTTAAATACAAGATAAAAATAACGACATGTGTGACCTAAAGTCGTGATTAAGAGGTTGTCAAAGGGTCATTAGGACTTATACGATTACTTTTTATAAGTAGATGAATGTATATGACACTTTATTGAGTACATGATCTTATATGACTATTTCATAATAGTAGAATAAATTATTTGACCCTTTTTTCTTTTAAAATAAAGATGGCACTCCGTATAATTTTAATAAATTAAACTTGCGAAAAGAGTTTCCACTAAGTGTTTGCAATTGCTTTAAATAAGTGCTTATCAGCTTTTAGATTAAAAAAAGCTACATATGATGTTTGCTAACCACAACTTCTAATTAAAAAAAAAAGCACTTTTAAGTTAACATCTAGAAGCTAGGATATACTAGCTTCAAAGTGCTTCTAGTTTTTTTGCAAATAACTCCAACTCCAAGGATAATCCTAATGGCTTATTTTTTCATCATTTCATCATTTTCATTTACCCCAGTGCCGCAAAGGCTCCCACCAACGGTGGGGTAAGGGGGGGTCGGATGTACGCAGTCTTACCCCTGTACTAAAGCACAGAGAGATTGTTTCCGGATGTACGCAGTCTTATTTTTTCACTTCAACCCAAAATATCCTCCATTCTTTCCTATTTTCTCCCCCCCAGCCTTCTTGTATCCCGTCTATCCCCTCCACCTTTTCTCATCACCACCACTAACAACCTGCACAAATGCACAATATTACATATATAAGGAAGCTTTTCCCCAATTTGGCATCGTACTTGTACATGCGCCTACCTTTGATTTAGCCGTCCAAAACGCCGCCACCGTCCAAAATGTCGCCGCTGCTATTGAATCACCGGCATCGCACCTGCACCTGCGCTTACCTTCGATGCAGCCGGAGTCGTTCGTCGTGGGGTTGCTCTGGTTTTGGATTGCTCTAGTTTTTTTTATTAATGGGGTTGTGGACTTGTGGCTGGACAGATGGTCGTAGGGTTGGATGTGCGTAATAAATGAAAAGGGTTTGAGGGTATATTTGTAACTTAATAAAACACTATCATAAAAATCACTTTTTTATCAAACACTCCAACTTCAACTTTTCCATCTTAATCACTTCTATCCCAAAACACTATCAACTTTTACTAAAAAGCACTTTCTCCAAAATCACTTAAAAATACCACTTTTTTTAAGTCCAAGCAAACGCAAACACTCCCTAATACTCCTATGCAAATTCATGGCGCACCTCCATTGACACGTATTTCTTTCTAAGCTTCATGAGTTCATGTGATATATTGCCATATTGGGCTATATGGTTAAGAACCTAATTTTTGGCTGATTTGACTAAAAATGGCCTTTTGACTAGACTAAAAGGCTAAGAAGAGTGTTTGATTAAATGATTTTTTGTTTTATTTTTATCTCAAACAACCAAAATAAGAAATCCTAAGAAATTAAATATGGGTTTAGGTATGACGTTTTCTTATTTTTACGTTATTACCCATGCGGCCATCTCCTTTCGTATTTGCCTGCTCCGAGTCTCCCACAGTCCCACACGTCAAAGAGAAAAATCACCCACAAATGACACTGCTATATTCAACTTTTCAATTTTCACCCAAGAGAACACTTGCAGGGAGCATGCATCCCTTTAATAAAACTAGTATTGTACCCGTGCGATGCACGGTGTGTGAATTTTTGGATGGGGTATAAATACCGTTAGACATAGAAAATTTAATTGGTTATAAAGTTAAATAAACATTGGACAATTGCGAACTAAAAGGATAATACGTAAGTTTGTTGAAATATGTAACGTGGTTATGTTACAATGTGAAACATTACAGATTATATATGGAGCACTTCTTGGTAGACAACATTCATTGTTTTCATCCTTTGGACAATCATCTTCATTTTGGATGAGGATTTTGAGACCTGCACGATTGGTAATTCTTGACACAATAACATATAATTGCCCATGGCTGAAAACTGGTTTTTCGGTAGGAGACCAACGTGAGTGAACGACTCACCTTGACTTTTATTGATGGTCATTGCATAAGAATCCATAATAAGAAATGGTCTCCTTTGAAATATAAATGGCAACCAAACATCAAACGGTGTCAAAGATAGTCGCGGTATTAAAACTCTGTCCTACACTCAAAACATTCAGAACCCTACCCTCTAAGATGTGATCACACATCTTTGTTATGATAAGTCTTGTACCGTTACACAGACCGAGTGAGTGATCAATATTTTACTAAAGCATCATTGGGGTGCCAACTTTCAAAGCTAACCTGTGATTTGGTACTCTAAAAAGCCATATCAAAATTTTTATTTAAGAGATTTCATGTGATTTGACACTTCAAAGTTAACATGTGATATGACTAAAAATAGATTTCTTTATTAAGAGATATTGATTTTTATTAATAACGATACATAAGAAGTCATTATCAAGTACTGTCACCTTCGAAATCATCAAGGGACTTGTTTGTTGATCATATTTTTCGGCTTATCAACCTTATCAGCAAATATTTTCCCCACCAAACACATATTTTTTTATTTCACGCGTTGGATTGTATAATAATGAAAATAAGTAAAGTTTTAACTTATTTTTCAGGTTGAATAGGGTCACATAAGACCTTCTACTATTTTCTTAAAGTTAATGCAATTGATCATTTTAGATAACTTTTATATAATTTTTTTTATTTTCTTAATAAAATATAGGGAAAGGGGTCAAATAAGACCTTCTACTATTTTCAATCCGTCACTTAAGCCCCTATACTAAAAAAGTGTCATATAGTACATTACTTTTTTAAAATAGATCAATTTAGTCATTCAATCACTTTTGACCTGTAATAGTAGGTTTATATATTGAAAAACTCTAAAAATATTAAATTTGAAGATATATAGATAAAACTTGTGAAAATTTTCAAATTTCTCAAAGTCAAAATCTTTGATTATTTGAAATTATTTTTTACTCAACATCTGTAGTAATTCTTTTTTACAATAACAATTTATTTTTTGATTTTATGATTTTATTATTTTTATTCTAACATTTTTAAATTATTTGTCCTTTTTTTACATTTAAACTTATTTTTATATTATTATTACATTCCAGCCCAGCTAGTGTGAGGTTATCATACCTAGTGGGAGGTTTTGAGTTCGAAACCCGCTAGGCACATAAGAGTTTGAAACTTAATGGAATGAGTTCAGCCCTAATTACTCCAGGCTCCCCCAGCCCCCTCCCCCAGACCCCCTGGAGAAAAAAATTATTACATTATGTTTTAGAAAATTAAAAATGGAAACTAATAATCCAATTTTTAGCGGCCTTCTTACAATAGTCCCACTTTTTTGTTATTAATGAATAATCCAACCTTTGCACCCCATCTTCATTCCGTGTTCACTGACCGTTTGATGACCTGCTATTCCAAGTTATTTTCTTATCTTTGCAAATCATTCTACCATAAATATCACCTTTCACAAAGATAAATATTACCTTTCATAAATTAATTTCCATTTTCCCTGTTTTTTAAATTTATACGATTATTTATGAGATTTATCAATAGTCCTAATTTATTTTTAAAAAATAACCTGTTATAACAACAAAAAATGACTTGGTTGATTGTAATTTAAAAGTGAGCATGCTTATATGATGCTTTTCCTAGTAGAAGAATTTAAGTGATGGATTGAAAATAACCGGAAGAGTTTATTTGACCATTTTCCCTAAA